GACAGGTGACAATACACCTGGAAATGAACCATAGCCCCGCAGTTGGGTATTTGTATTGGCAGAGACTTGGCCACTCCTAACAGTTGCCGGGTTCCATGCTGGGAGACCATTCAAGGACAGTGCTTGTAAGGATAGTGTGGGCGTGCTGCTAAACTCAGCTTTGGTCATTGCAACAGTCTTTCCAGTGAAGTGACCCAGGTGCCATTTATCAGGGCACATATTACAAAGATGCTGTCTTAATTTCAGTTACAACTCGGTGTAACCAAAGAAACTCAAATGAGGGCCACAGCTGTATTCTGCTGCTTTTCATAGGCCTTGCAATAAAAACTAAGCAGTTTTTAGTGGCTTTTGCAATTATACTTCCTTTCAATTTTCCAAAGGTTACAGAGCCTGAACCACACAAATCCCATTAAAGTAAGTAGCTGTTGTGCAATATAAGTTCCTTTGAAAACATTCTTCAATGCCCATAAAATGATCAGCAGGCTGCACTTTAGATCCGTTTGCCTGCCATGCTTTCAACCGAGAGGCAGATGACAAGCTTTGATGTGGTAGTCGGTTTCTGCTACTGGAGCTGGCATTTTTTGGGAAAATCTTGCATCAGATTTTTTCCCAAATGGATATGACCGAGGCATAGGAAACACATTTTTTCTTCTGATTTTATTCCTAAAATATGTTTTTACTCTACCTTTAAATTACATTTGGCCGACCATGGATTTGGGATCTGCAAGGTTTCCTCCCACAGGGTGCAGAGGAGAAGAAGAGGGTCAGGAACTTTGGAGTTAACTGAAGCCAGCATGGGGAGTGCAAGGATGAATAGGGTTCACCCCATGCTGCCAGGTCCTCATACTTGGGGATGGCACTTCATGCTGTCTTCTCTACCCTCTCTCTAGTGCAACTGTGGCAGCCACAAGAGGAGTTCACAGTGAATTTCATGCTAGAGCCAAGGGCAGGGCTGGGTTGTTCTCTTTAACTCCTATGTATTTGACCACACAGTGGGTGTCCTAGCTTGGGCTCCTGGCTTACTTTCCTTGAGAAGTGCTTCCTATGTATTTGGACATCCTGATCTATGGGAAATGCCATTCTCTTTACAACCTCTTGCTTGTGTGTGTGTTTCTATTTGTTTAAATCACTCATTTATGCTGGAGTTGCATTTTTAGCAAGAGATAAAAAGGAATGACTCATTTCTGCATTTACCAAGGAATTAGACCACAAAACATATACCTTATCTAAATCTGATGACTAACCTATCTGAAAGAGAAGCTCACCCTTCAGCCAGAGAAAAATATCCAGCACCCAAAATACTGCTAACTTAATTATTTGCTATGTACTATTAAGAAGAAGGATTGGGATTGAAAAATTACTCAGCCCTTCAGAACTCTGGATGAATCAGTAAGGGTCTAATAACCCGGGACTGCTTTCATACTGCACTGCCGCTTTAACTCTTTCAACCTTTATTGTCATTCAATTTATCATGGGACCCTATCTTTTTTCTGTAGAAATACCTGAATGCATGAAGGTGACAAAATTATTACATAAAAAGAGTTGGACCATCATTTTAAAAAAGTATTTAATGATAAACTCAAATATGTATTGGAATATTGTGAAAGGGAAGATCTGGCTTAGAGCTATCAGTCAAGTTTTATAGAGGAGGAGGTAAGATTTGAAATGTGTCTTAGGAAATGGAGATTTTGAACTGTGCCCTGACATGTAAGAGAAGTGCCAGTATAGCTGTGGGAATAGATAGAAGATAGGTGTGTATCACTATGGTAAAATAACCCTGCACAAAGTTAATTGACGAAGCAAAGACTCACAGAGGCCATGAAAAAGGAGAATGTAAAAACATCTGGATCTGAATAGCTCTTCTTAATGAAAATGATTGCATTTTTTACTGGCTACTCTGGTAGGAACGACAACATGCAATGGACAGTGACCCTCTTTCTCAGATCCTATTTATAATAGTTAGCTTGAAAAAATATGTCTTTCCCATAAGTCTTTTCCCGGGGCGGAAGTTTCCAGGTATGTCTCTGATGCTTTATTGTTTCTCTCTTGCACAGAGTGTTTATTGTCATTTGCACTAACAAGTAGAATGGAATTAGGAGTCCTGGCTTCTGGGAGGCCCGTGTTTCCATTGTGATTTGTGGCAAGTCACATTGTTCTTCTAGGTCTCAATTAACTCATCAGTAAAGTAAAAGGGTTGGATTAGACAATTTCTTGGGAAGTTTTAGGTGCCAATATTTTACGACTCATGATTTGCAGCAGGACTGCACCTGTTCACAAGGTCATTTTGCTTGTCTTTCCTAAAAGAGTGCCAGTTACTGCATAGTTGCAGTTTACTCAATCATTGATACGTATATAAAAAACCATAAACACCTGAGATCTAAAACATTATGATTTCAATGAAAACGCATCTATATCTCCTGTAGTTATTATGCAGCTTGGTGATTCTTACCCACTTCAGAATTTCAAAGAATGAGATGCCTATTAACGTCCAATTGGACATTAGGATCTTTAGGCAGCCTATTCCCAAATCAACCTTCCCTGTAGCTGTTTATAAGACAATGATAAAAAGACACTGCTTTCTCTCCTGGATATTCAACCAGAGCCCAGAATCTGATAAATGTGTTTATCCCAGGTCCTTCAGATGCCCTGCGTTTGTAGATCTCCACAGTGTTTATGTTTCCCCTTGTGCTGCTGGAGATACCGGGCTGGGTGAAGTTCTTCTGCATTCTTGGGGAGAAACAGGGAGCTCAGGCTTTGTGATTAGTGAGCAAAGACAGACAAGCAGAAGGCTGCTGCTGGAGCTGCCTCTGTTGCCCGCTCACTGTTTCTTTCTATTATTCTTGCACTTTGAAGGACATTTGCCAGATCCAGACTCCCCGGACCTCTGTGATTTGCATGTCTTTTCTCACCTTCAACATGATCTGGGCTGGTGTTTTCATTTGTTAAAAACAACAAGAACATTCACTGGGAAACTTTTGCTGGACTCGTTTCAGGTCATCATAGCTATTTATTCCCTGTCATAAACTATAATTCTCCATTTCCCTTACTCCCATGTCAGGGGAATTGGTGGTTTATGGTGGACAGTCAGTGGGATTTGAATGAACAGTGGAAGATTTCAAAGAAACTGCTGAGATTATGTAGCAGGTTGTAATACTAAGAGCAAAACATAAAATATTCTTGGTCTTGATCACAGTTTGGCGGGACAAGAAGAAATAGGCTTACAAAACAGCATAAAAGATTTAGAATTCATGGTTATACCTGGGAAAGAATTTTCTCTGAGGGAAAGAAAACAAATCATGGGGTTGGCTTAGTGAGGGATTTCCTTTATATGATTAAAAATAGTAGCCTGAGGTCTTTGTAATTGGTTTCAATTTGGTGAAGGTGTGGAAGCTAAGAATTTTTTGCAGACATTCTGTCTAATCGGGGACATAAAATTCAGGTTATAATGCTGTCACATAGGCCTAGATGACCTAGAGAGATCTGAAGTGCAATATTGCAGACAAAAGAATTTGGGGAAAAGAATCAGAGCAATTCTTCCAAATATTTAAATAGGCGAATACAAGTGCAAGACAATTACCGAAAGGTATTTGATCCTAGGTGTTTGAATTTGAGTGATGATAATATTGGAAACTAGTTTTGTCAATAGCCAAATAGTGATGTTTATTGGAAGGTCTTGATAGAGGGCCCAGATTATGAGTAATTTGGTTCCATCTTCAAGGTGCCATTGATCTGACATTCTTATTGAGAGTGCCACAAAAGTGCCCAGCAAAGCAGGAGTCCTAGTTAAGACACCATCAATGTGAAAAACCAAAGAGGTTATGAATTAAGCATAACTATGAAGCAGAGAGAATGGATGTCAGCAGCTTCTTGGCTAGAGGAATCTGGCCTGGATAAAATGATTTTCTTCTTTTCTACAGAAACAGTCTTCTAAGGATAAGAGAAGTTTCATGTTTTCCTTGGAAACAAATTCAGAGAGCCCTTTACTATATCTGTGTGCTCTAATTATCAGGAGGAAATGTGCAGTCTCTCGTCTAAGCTCCAAGGGTATCCCTTCATAAGGCAGCATTGATGAAGAAAGAATCTCTTAGCAAAAAGACTTAGTTCAATGCTCAGTTATCATGAACTGAGAGGTCTGGGCTAGGAGCTCCTGGATTTAAGCTACACTTTGAATCCACATATAATCTAATGCATGCCTTCAATCTTTAATAAGAATAATATTATAACTAAGGTAGGTGTCATTATTCTTAGGACATCATGATTCATGCTAGTAGTTTAAGTGTGTTGTGTGTTCATAGTCAGAGAGGATCAAAAGACTTTACATGCTAGAAAAATAACTAAGAGGTGCTTTCTGTTTGTTAAACATGGAACAAGTGGCCAACCTCTTCTTTCTCCCCATCATCATCCCACAGCATTAGAATTTTCTTTGGGCTGAGTCTGCCTGGGGAGAAGCCATAGGAAATGTGAGTCTAGGTTGTCAGAGCATATGACTCGGGCCTCGGCTGTTCAGTACTGTATATCTGAGATCAACACAGGCTATGCAGTAACTCAGGCTGCAGGGAGACGATTTGATGGAGGTGTTAGCACAGCTGGTATTTTGCTAGAACTCACACATCCATCACTCCTGATTGAACTGGATGGGGGACAAAGGACAGGAGTGGTGGGACTCTCTGACTGTTCTGGGTGGGCTGTGTGACTATTAGCTTGCCAAGATTGGGAAACTCAGGGAAAATCAAGGAGAAATCCTAGGGTTGGGATTCTCGAAAGGTCTCTAAAAATCTCAGAGCCCTAGAACTCAGTTTGAGTGAAACCCTTTCAGGGGTCTCCCAGCACTGTTCCTGTTCTTGGGTCCTCAGGGAATGAGTCCCTGGCTAACGTTAGCTTGGGTTGATGGTGCAGTGGCACTAGTCCTGATCTATCTGACTGTAGATAACGCAGTCCTGGTTTTAACCAAGACTCCTCAAGTGAACTTGGCTCCTTCTCATCAGTTTCTTCTTTACTAGATGATCAGCTGAACTCAGAGGAAAAGAAGAAGAGAAAGCAGCGGAGGAACAGGACGACCTTCAATAGCAGCCAGCTGCAGGCTCTGGAGCGCGTTTTTGAGAGGACACACTACCCTGACGCTTTCGTGCGAGAAGACCTCGCCCGCCGGGTGAACCTTACCGAGGCCAGAGTGCAGGTAACAGGCTGGGGGAGCTGGCACTGTTTAAAAACACAAGCTGTAAGTTTTAGACTGGAACCAGTACTAACAGGGCTACATATGGTCCGTGCAAGGATAGAATCCAGTTTCTAGCAGTGTTTCTTTGGACAGCAAAGCATTTTTAAAAACCAAGGCAAATGACTGTAAGTAGAGCCAATATTCCTTGCTGGTGGTCCCTCTCTTCCCCACAGTTTCCAAATCTTGCAGACTCATGATACATGTATTGTCCCTTTAAACGTTTGACACTGCACCTCCAGCCTTCCATGGGAGCTCAAGGCTGACTGAAGAGACTAACTCTCTGTTCCACACCTCACCTTTCCTCCCCAGCCTTTGAGAATGCACAAATCTTCAATAAAATTATTAAAAGCATGCATAACCATGAGCCCTGTGGAGTGGGAAGTGAATACTTAGGAACTGAGTTAAAAGCACATTTAAGTGGATTTTATTCATCCTCACAGTGTCTCTGAGAAGGGAAAGAGAGTGAGGGCATGTAAGACAGAGACAATAGCAATTCTTTCTAACATTAAAGCCAAGATACATCAACTGATAAGTTATTGGCAGTAATAACATCAATGAGAATAATATAATGATTATTCCTACTTGAGCCCTGATATGTCAAGTCATGTTCTTTACATAACTAGTCTCTTTTATCCTCCCACCAATTCAGTGATGTGGACATGTATATTTTTATCTTGCCAATGAGGTAACTGAGGTACAGAAAGGTTGACATTATCTATACAGCTAGAAAGTAGCTGAAATAAGATTTGAATCCAGACATTCAGATTCATGTTTTTAATCATCATGAAAGACTTTGAATAAAGAATAGTCTGCTAGCTAAGTGCTTTTTCAGGTAGTGCTTTTCTCCCTTTGCTGAAAGATCTTATTTCTTCCATATTGTCAGTGGCAAGCTGCTATTGGATGAGAAGGGTGGGTCAAATCTGTCTTGTCTTCCTGAAGAAATCATTGTTTGTATATCTGTGTTTAGTCCAAATGTGAGGGATTTCTTTCTGCAAATGATAATCCTCTTGATTGATGAAGACTTGAGCTAGACCCAGGGCCCTTGCCTAGGGTAGGGATGGTGTCTACACCACAAGGCACTAGGAGAGGCACTCATTGAGTTGATGTGGAGTTCCCTTCATCCTGAAGTGAAGGCGTTTTTCCTGTGGAGAAATAGGGCCTTTATCTAAAAGTATTCCTCAAGAGACAAAAAGAAAAATGGCGGTGGAAAAATAGGAAGTGGTGTGGTCTCATGGAGTCTATGAAGATAGGTTAGAGGAATGTGTGAGGGAGAGTGCCCCGTGACTGGTTGACAATACCTTGGGGCTCGAGTAGGAGTGACCCATGGGGACAAATCTCAGTTTTGCTCCCTCCATCCCATTATCCAGTTCAGAACTATGAAGTAAGTGTGCCTCCCCACACCCTCTTCCCCCATGCCACTCCCACAGCTCTCTAACCATGCTTTGAAATCCCCTCTTTTCTTCCAAAACACCCTATATCTTTATGACACATTAAAATGAGCAACTGTAACAGCTCTCCACAGTTACCTAAAATGCCATTTTTGCTATGGTGATCATCTAAATTTCAGAGAAGGAAATCTGAATAGGGCAATGATGGAAATTAAAAAAATGAGAAAGAACAATTTGGGAACTATCTTGTCCCCATTGCAACAGGAAAATTTCTTATATGTTGAAACTTTTTTTTCCTCCTTTCCTACCTTACTATATTCCAATGACTTTCAGAGCTGTGAACATTTCCTGTTTGAGTATGATAGGATTCCCTCTCCATGACATTACTCTTCCTCCAGGAAACCCTTTCCTTTCCCAGTCTAAACCAATCCCTTCTGACTCTGGGCTTCTTTATATGTTTGGCATTTATCACAATAGGACATGTATTGTATTGCAGTATATGGGGGTCAAACCCCCCCTCCCACCCCAATCCCGGACTGAGGAGTCATCTTGGATAGAGGCCATGTTTGATTGATCTTTGCAAAATTTGCTTGTTCTTCCTTCTTTTTCTCCTTCTTTATTTCCTCAAAAATTTATCAAGTACCTTGTGTACCCTTGGACCTATTTTTGGTTTTCTGAGGATCAATAAGGCAATGACTCTCCTTAAAAATGTTTGGACTGGGCAAGAGAAGACAGATGTACAAACTGTACTATTACAATATCGTAAAGTCCTACATTAAAGGAATTCATGATAGACCAGAGAAAAAAATGAAGTGATCTGCCTGGGGGAAAAGAGAGTGAATACATATCTATTAAGCATCTATTCTGGATCAAGGCTCACAGCTATCCTATGTAGGCATTATTATCTTCAATAGATCAGAGGACAAAGAAGCAGATAAATTAACTAATTATCCAAGGATAAATCTTTAAAGTAGTATAACCAGTGTTTTTATCAAACTATGTTCAACTTTTAAGTCATGTTCAATGTCAAAGTTTAATCTTGGAAAAAAAATATTGGCTTTGACACCAGGATAAAGAGTGGATGAATGACATGGGCAGAGAGAGCACCTACTGTAAGTATATGTAGGTGGGAAACAGCCTAGCACTTTTGAGAGTCTTCAGATAGCCTTGGGCCTAGGGGAGGAGTTGGAACAATAGAGGGCTGGTGCATGAGATGGGAGTGAGGCAAGATGTGGTGGGATTGATGGACAAATCACTCAATTCCAGCCTTTGTTCTATGGTAAGAAGTTTTCATTTTATTTTGTGAGTAACAGGGAACCAGCAGATAACATAAAGCAGAGCATAGATCCTATTATTTTAATATTCAAGTTGATAACTATAATAGCAAATGTGAAGAACACTTAAAAGTGGAAGAGCCTGGAATCTGGGAAGCCAGGGAAGAGATGTCCAGACTCCACCTTCGTTGATTTCCAGCCACGCCCTTCATGGTGCACAACTCTGTGGGGTACTGATTACATATGTGAGTGTTGCCCCTATAACAACAGCTCACTCCATACCATGGAATTTCCTTCTCCCATATCTTGTTATATGATTCTATAATTGTACCTCAAATATTTGCTTTGCAGTTTTTCAATTTTACATCTTCGTTTTAGAGACTGTGAGCTTCTTAAAACTAGACAATAAATTTTTCTCATGCTTTTCTTCCTAGCATTTAGGACCTAGACTGCAGCAGGCACTTTATAAAGATTTCTTGACTGAGTAAATTAATGAATAAAATTCCACTGAAGTCTAGAAGGGTTGTATGATCATAAGTTGTGTGTTCTTGAGTTCAGAAACTCAGCCATTTATTACTTGTGTGAAATTCAACAGATTACACTGATGCATTGCTTAACAGTGGGGATCTGTTCTGAGAAATGCATCATTAGGCAGTTTCACTGTGTGAACATCAAAGAGTACCCTTACCCAGAGTAGATGGTCTAGCTTACTCCTCACCTAGGTGCCATGGTATACAGCTCTAGTCTATAAACCTGTATGGCATGTTACTGTACTGAATGCTGTAGGCAGTAGCAACACTATGGTAAATATCCATGTATCGAAACATACCTAAATGCAGAAAAGGTACAGTAAAAATACAGCATTATAATCTCATAGCACCACCATTGTACATGAGCTACATTGTCAATTGAAATGCTGTTATGTGGTACATGATGGTATTTAATCGCATCGAACCTGTTTCCACAACTCTAAAATAGTAATAATAAAACCTAACATGTGGAATTGTCATGATGACTAAAAATGACATAGGTTCCTACTCTGTATAAGTTCCTAGCTCTGGTTGCACTCAATAAATGATAGGTTTATAATTAGCTGTAGCAGATGCTGTCAGTGCTACCCACATCCCCTTGAGCCCTGCAATTAAATATAGTCAGGTCAACTTTCAATTTTTAGGATCTGTCTTTCTGGTCCAGAACTTTCTTTTTAGGACTTCAAGGGACTGTCCTGTCATTGTTCAGTGTTCCAGGTGTGCTGGGACATCCACAACTGATGACTGGCAGGAGCCAGTGTACAAATACCAGCTCCTTTGCCCCTCAGGAGGGATAACTTGGAAGTGTTCCTCCTACCTTAGTCTCAATCTTTAGAGTCTCCACAGGACTGGGCCGCCATAGACATAGCGGTTTTAGGAGCACACTCTTTTCAGTGGTTGCTTTTCTTCTCTGTTATTTCCTTGCTCCCCTGATGGTGTTGCTTGCACCTTCCAAAGAAATCATTTTCTTCTTAAATCTTTGTTAGAGCATCTACTTCTGGGGGGCAGGGAGATTTTCTTTAAATATCTAATGAGTATTATGAAAGCAGATCCCATTTTGAAGAATTTAAAAAAACTTTTAGAAAAGTCTTTGTATCTGTGGCAGAAGTCTAATGAAATTTTTCTTCTTTTTCTTGATTATAAGTATAAGAGGGATTATAGCCCAGATTTTGCTGTCCCAGGGATTAGTCACAGATGCTATCTCTGGAAGCTTGGTTACTGGAGTAACTTCCTGGTCCTGTTATAAAAGTCTTAACCCTTAAGACATTCCCTTCCCACCTGGGAAGGATTATGGCTTATTGCTATTGACTTAAAAAGAATTCCATACTTGGGTGGTGCCTGTGGCTCAGTGGGTAGGGCACCAGCCCCATATACCTAGGGTAGCAGGTTCGAACCTGGCCCAGGCCAAACTGCAACAAAAAGAAATCCATCCTGTATCCTTCCTTGGGAAGGCATTGTATAGTAAAACCAACCAGATTGGCATTTCTCTGATGATTAGGGATGGTGAGCCTTTTTTCATGTATGTATTGGATATTTGTCTGTCATCTTCAGAGAAGTTTCCTGAAAACAATATATAAACAACTACATGCCCATAGGAAAGAAAAACACAAGTATTGTTGTGAGGGGGAGAGGAGAGGTAGGAGAGGGGAGGGGAAGAGGGAGAGTGATTGGCGGGATCTCACCTAATGTGCAGTGTCAGGGTGTTCAGCGCGCCCTCTGGCTGAAGGGCTCAACTACAACTTGAACTTTAGAAACAAAAACAAGGTAACCTGAACACTTGTACCCTCATATTAATCTGAAATAAAAGTATATACACATATAAAAAAACTGACCAGAATTGTATTCATGTTTTTCCTCTCCTTCCTCATGCCCTTCTCTCCTAACAATCTCCCAGGTGTGGTTTCAGAACCGCAGAGCCAAGTTCCGCAGGAATGAGAGAGCCATGCTGGCCAATAAGAACGCTTCCCTCCTCAAGTCCTACTCAGGAGACGTGACTGCTGTGGAGCAGCCCATTGTCCCTCGTCCCGCTCCAAGACCCACCGACTATCTCTCCTGGGGGACAGCCTCTCCGTACAGGTGAATGACTGGCCTACTCTCTCTTGCTCCACTTCCACATTTTCTCAGCGGCCGGTCACCTTTAAAGCTGCTTGTGCGGCTGGCTGACATTTCTTACTGGGTTAACCTCTTCAGAGACATTCAACTTGCTGACATCCCCACATTTTCACGGGAGCTTACTAGTTGCCCCAGGAGCAGGGTTTGGGGCAGAAGAGAGAGGCAGGCCAGCCGCAATCTCCTCTTGGACTCAGGAACTCTTGCAAAGGTTTCAAAGATGGGGAAGAATCTAAAAGAAAAGATCGTTAAGCTGTGCCCAGTGTCTCTCTGGCAATCACTTCTGGAACAAAACTTTACCCCATTTCCAAATTTAAGATAAATTTGTTTATTATGCTCAAGTAGGGACTTCACTTGTAAGGTTTCAAGCATAGGACTGAAGGTAAACTTCAAAGTAGAACTGATTTCAACTTTTAAAGGAGGGAGGAAGGGAGGGAGGGAAGGAAGGAAGGAAAGAAAGAAGGAGAGAGAGAGAGAGAGAGAGAGAGAGAGAGAGAGGGAGAGAGAGAGAGAAAGACAACTGAGAGAGAAGGAAAGAAAACCCAAGTTCATTCTGGCCACAGTTTTTTGTTAGTAGGTGGTGATATCTTAGGAGCCCAAGTGCCTTCCTATTCTATTGCTAATTCTTGTCTACCTGTCTCAAGATTTAGTGTGTGTGTGTGTGTGTGTGTCTTTTAAATAAAAGAAGAATGTACAATTTACCCTAGACTTTTATATTAAAAAGGGTGAAAATTTTTGAAGAAACAAATAACAGAGTACTATTTTAATTTCCTAGAGAGGTTTTAACCTCCATTTATTAAGCTGTTCAGAAAATTCAGGTTTTATGCCAGAGGGAAGCTGAGACAAGTGCCTAACACATTGGATTAGTCTAGAGGGCTTTCTCTTGAAACTAAACCTGAGTATTCTGAGAAACCGGGTCAAGACCATATGTTCTCTCTGGCTGATTTCAGTGGAGGAAGAAGTATTCACAAGTTCATTTACTATGTTTTAGTTTACCTTTTTGTTGTTATGGTTAATTATTTGTTTAGGCAGAGGTTTTAAATATCCCAGCTGAAGTTGAACTCCTGACATGAAATGCACAATTGTGAAATGCAAATGTTTTTCAAAGGTTTTGATCATGCTAATTAATTGGATCAAAAAGCCTCACCTACATGTTCTTTCTGTTCCAAATCCGTTCCTTAAGAGAAAGACCATAAATGCATTTGGAAATTTCTTTTATATCCAGTTGTGAACTAAACCTGAATTACTTGGGTCTTAGTGCTTAGAGACCTCAAGTCCAGGAAGGTCCTATTCTGGGCTCTGTTGCATTCAGACCTGGGACGCTTTACTGATTTTGAAAGATTAGTTGTATCTGTGTGTCCTCTTTAAAATTGAGACTTCAATCCCATAAGATTTACTAAAAATACATTTTTGAAGACCAGTTCGATGTTATATATTCTTTAATATTTTAAATAAATGGAAAGCAGCTTTGTTTCTCTCACAAATATTGGTAGCGCATAGACCCACAAAATGGCTTGGGAAGTAGGTGTGGGTCAAACAAAGCTTGAAGTTCAAAATCTCTGGTTTGTATTTGGTCACGACCAGAGAGTATTGCTCCTTTTGTGGCCTGGGTCCTTAAGAACTTTTCACATCAGCTATAAACCATCCAGATGGCTGCCACGTGGTCCTTAACAGTGAGAGAGCTCAGCAAAGCACACCGCATGAATGGGGATGGAATCCTTCCTGAATTAACACGGGCTTATACTCTCTGAACCTCAGCAGAAGTTCAAGCCTCAGTGTCTGCATCATCTGTATTTTGTAGAGGGGCATCTAGCTGAAATTATGACCATGACAAGTTATGTATGCTTTTTGGGGAAATATTTTATTTTAATTGGAAAGACTATGTAGAAATACTAGATACATTTTTACATTTTCAAAAACACCCATATTTTCTATCGTCTCGGCATAACGAGTTGGTTCGTTTTTGTTGATTAGAGTTCAATATTTTACATAGGTGTAGCCTTAGTGTATATATTATTTTGTATTTTGCTCTTTTCCCTTAAAATCATATAACCTAGTACTTTTTTTAATGGTATGCTTTTATATCATTTCTCTCTTAGATACAGACTTTGTACAAATTAATTAATTAAAACAACTCCATAGAATTCTGAGTGTTCATATTGCATATGAAGAAGGAATTTATCTCCAGATATAAGTAGAAAAGTGATGGTGTAATTGATTGACATCATTGAATCAATGATAATGTCTTTTGACCCAATGTTGACTGAAGTGTTTATATTTTGGTTAATTTCTAAAAGTGGCTGTTTTGTTTCTTGGAGATTTTTCTTCTATGTTTAGAACCAAAACATGTTACGATTTCACGCTTTGAAGCTTGTCAGGAAATGTAACTATTGTAAAGGAAATATGAAAGAAAAACAAGTGACAAAAAGCAGAGGATATGATAGACATTTTGTATTATGGAAAATTACCTCACTGCTCCTGTTGGTACTGTTATGTCAAGTTAGTTGTCTCAGTGTGACATTCATTAAAAGGCATTTCTCTTCATTAATTGCTGGAACAGTCCTGTGTGATAGCTCTGTCCTTGCTGTGGTTCCATAATACTGAACATTTGCCCAAGTTTAATTCTTCAGCAAGCAAAATTAGAACTAGTGCTGTGATGTCTGTTTTCAGCCAACATATTCAGCCACATTGGAAACTACATTTTCATTCAAAGTAGACGTTGCATTGTATTGAAAGTAGCAAAAAGTATAAGATTGGAAAACTAAACAGCCCTTTTGGATTTAAGGTCTGTCTCAGGTCAGTGACATGTGTCTGCAGCTGAGGTCCACATTCCAGGGTGTGTGGGCAGTCCAATGGGCCAAAGGATGTGGCTTAATCATACCACCCAGGGACAGTGAGCAGTTTTTCCAGAGAGGAGACTTAACTGACTTCTTCAACTCCCCTCTGGTAGAAGAAAGGAGGAAACAAGGTGCAAAAGCAGTTATTTGCATATGGTTTGAATTACAAGTTGGGAAGTAGCCAGCACATTATTTTTCTGGATGTCTTTTATACCCAGAGTGGTGGCTACATATTTTATCCTTCAAACTGGGCCTTTCTTGAGAATTAAAGGAGAGTGCTGTTAATAATGTTAGCAGGACAATAGATATACACCAAGATTGTCCCTGGCCACCCAGGACATACAGTGCACTGTAATTATAGCATGTTGTGACCTCATTCATTCCCTTGAGCACCTTAGTGCTAGGCAGGCAACTGAGTCTCCAGGGGACAATGCACCCTCTAACGTGGACACTTCTGTCCTGGTAGGCACCTTCTTTATGCACCTGCAGCTGATGGGAAGAATCTTATGTTTGGAACAGACACCAATTGCTTACTGCAGAACTATTTTTCTTAGGCAAATCGTGAGAATGAAAGCACACACGCAAGCACCAGAATCATTCAGACTCACTGCTCTGTGCAGTGCTTTGCCTCTTGGGGAGCAGAGATCAACCAAAATCTTTTTGCAGAAACACACTTCCTATGAGAGGTAGATGGTGAATGGCCTGGCTCTGCAGCATTGGCCTGGATTGTCCCTTCCAGAGGGAGGGCTGAGCCTATGTGAAAGCTAGTGAAAGAGAAGCTTCTGTTTCCCTCCCCCAACCTTCTCCTCCTCCTCCTCCCCCTCCTCATTTTATCATGGTCATGGTGCTGCCTGACGTCTGCTGAACGCATTTGGCTCATTTCTCCCTTTCACACTTTCAAAAATAGATCCTCGTCCCTCCCAAGATGTTGTTTACACGAGGGGCTTCATAACGGATTCTAACGGAAGACACTGAAAAAGGTAACTTGTCAGAGGGGGAAGAGGGTGGTGATGGGGGTATAGGGTTGTAAGTGGGAAATAAGTGTGTTGAAGAGAGTGGGGGCTGTAGTCCTAGAAATGTAAGCAGTTAAGGCCACCGAGGGGGAAATGCTATTGGAAAGCAGGGCTGTGAGAACACGAGTCCACACAATGCAGGGTGGTGCGTACTAGTCTAGAGCAGGGCTTGTCCCACAGGAATCACCTCGGATGGTGTTGCCCACATGAGCTCTGATTCACTAAGTCTAGGCTGGGCCTGCGAGTTCCCAGCTCTAACTTGCTCCCAGGTGATACTAATGCTTTCCACCCTCGGTCTACACTCTGAGTAGTGAGGCTTCAGTGGCTGCAGGGTATGAGATACGGGGTGGAAAAACTATGTTCTTGTCCTGGCTCTTGTTGCTCCTCAGGCCAGTAGGATCACCGTCTGTCACCTTGTATCTAAAATTAATTAGCCATAGTTTCCTTCTTGCTTCTATCTCACAGGGGTGTTTAGAACCTCTAAGTAAGCGAAGTGCCCGTATAAAAAAGAAATAGATGAAAATCTGGCTGCAATAGAAAGGTGCAAGAGGCTTTACGGAAAAACCTTTCTAGAAAGAAAGGTTAAAAATAGCAGAATAATCCCTGAGGGTGTACTGCAAATTGAATGTCCCTAGTACTAAGAGCTAAATAGATGTTAAAAAAAAAAAATCAACTTCTGATTTTCAAAAACAGAAGTTAAGAAATAGTTATTTAAATTACAAAAGAGCACTTCCAAAAGGATTTATGGGAACTCTCCTTGGCAATACATTTTCCTACAAGAAACTGGAATTCAATTTTCTTAGAAGAAGCAAGTAGACCTCTGTTTTTGCATTGATGAAAGAACTAACTGAAGAAATGGTCTCCAACTTCTATGCATCACAGAATCTTGAAAGCCTCTGAGAAAAAAATCCTGAACTGGTGAAAGATTAGAATCTCAGGCAGGCTCACAGACTTCTCTGGCTCACAGAGTTGCCTTTGGGCGAAATTTAAAATAGCTTGCCAGCATTTGCCCAAAAGGGCCAAATAGAAAACAAAGGAAGAGTCAAAAATTGAGTCTGGTTGGTTTTTTTTCCCCAACCCATCCTCAATTGTTAAGTAATTTGTAGGACTTAGGCTATGGGTGATTAGAAAACTAAGGGACCATTGTCCGTAAATTTGCTAACTTTAAAATTGTAGTATGAACATTATTGTCTGTACTTCTTCAATGTTCAGCAGACATTTTAATATTATTTTTTTCTCATGAAAACCTTTTGGGGTAGGTTGAAATGATTAAAATGATCTGTCCCCAGTGAAAACTATGTTCTAACCCTGCTGGTGGCGAGAATTCTACTATCTATGGCTGAACCGCATCTACTAGAAATTTCCATATAAGGAGAAGGAATAATTTCAGACTGACTTAAATGTGTCAACTCTGTGTAATTCCCAGTGCTGACGTGCTGAATCAACAGATGGGATTCAAGCATTTCTTTTTATAAAATCCCTAATTTCTCAATGCACTTTATTTAGCAATGTTGCTTCTTGGTCACCATCAGAAAGAACTTGATCAAAGCCAAATACAAATGGTGCTTTAGTCAAACCCTATAAATTCCAGCCTAAGACTCATCTCATCTCTGCCCCCTGCTTATAAAAATAAATAGTTTTTACTCAGAAGGCCAGATGGAAAGGCAGGATCTTCTGTTTTTAAGCGGGCTCTTGTTATCGTGGGCTTAATCTGTACAGATCAATTCATTTCAATCTCATCTATTTATCCCAGGAAGCTTAATCCTATTTAGACAGGAGTGGTCATTTCACATGTTTGGAATGGCCCTATAAACAGGTTGAAAACAGGTAATTACCTTCATTGATAGTGGGCTTGTGAGAAAACACATCAGTGTTCTCTTTCTTTTCCAACAACAGAGCTTTAAAAGTTTCCATGACAAGAGCAGCAGGTGGTCATGAACAGATTGACAGCTGCTCAAGTGGCTGGTGTCTGCTATCACTTAGGAGGCAGGTCCTCTCCATCTTCTAATGCCATTTTAAAATTACTCTTAAAGTACCCACCCATTAATTCTGTCTTTTCTACACTGCAACAAGTTTTGCTTGTCTCTCTTATGTCAAAGGACTGCTAACTTTTGTCTCTATGGTACTTTTAGCTCAAGCTGAGAAATTAGACCCATGTCCAAATGCAGAGGGGAAAACAGACTTGTAATTTTTTCATATGGGCACAAGGTATCTCTGGGATTCCTATTTGTAGGATTCTATATTCTGAGCACTTGTTAAGAGTCTGTGAGTTAAGATGGCTTTTGTTCTGTTAGCCTACTTCTTATGGCTATGGGATGCTGGAATAAATTAGGTCGATTTTAGAAAGTTTATAACTTTCCTAAACATTTATCAAGAAAGAATGTTATCACCTGTCAAGTTCCTACGGAATTGTAAATTTTACTCATTAAAATCAACTGCTTTTTTATTCTCAATCCCCACAGACTTGCAGGATACTGAGGAGACATTTTTGCAGACTTATAGTGCAATGGTGTTCTTATGACAGCACTGCCATATCAGAGGCAGAGAAGAAGCACTCTTCTCTGGTGTGAAAATTCAGTCTGCCACTTAAGTGAAAAATGTCTCAGTGAATATCCAATCTTCGGTGCCATGTGTGATCCTGATTCCCATTAATTTGTTTTTATGTTGTTAGGAAGTGGCTCAACACTCATTTGGGATATGACCATCTGGCCTGCATTAGTGAGAGCAACTCACTGTTTCCAAAAGGACTTCGTTATCATGCTAAGTCTCCAGACTAGAATATCAGATGATTAAGTTAGTAGACTCAAGTGACTATGGCAAAAATGGTTATACGAACCTACAATTGCTACTCTAGGAGACATTTCTGGAAAGCAGTAATAGCATATTCAGTAAACTAAAATAATCCCCCCAAAGTTCTTTTCCTTTTGTCTGCTAAGGAAATGGAACATATCTTTGCTTATCAAGAAATGGCAAATTTCTATTCAACAGGAACTTTGCTTGTCCAGAATCTCCAAGGATGATAAACATACCCCTCAGAAAACAAGGCCAAGTACTCAAAAGAATACTAAACAGCCTACAAGAGAATTTTTCTTTATGCTCTCTAATGAAGTTTTAACCATCTGTTTTCAGAAGCCGTTCAATTTTATTCTTAGGACTTAAATAATACGGATAATTTATAATTCTAACTTCTCTCCTGTGTGTTTAAAATGGCAATATATGTAACTTATGTATCATCATTAGGAGTTGATTCTCTCATCTAATTGAGAAAGGTTGATTGGGTTGTTCTAAAAATAATCTATGATTTAGGTACATTTCCCAAATCCGACAGTCTCTGTTGGATTGGCATGTCCTAGAAATTTCTTGTGTGTAGGTTTTTATGGGTTTGTATACATTTTTGGTAAAAGCCTGAATGGAAACATGTAATTCATCTAGTAACTAAATTATGATGTGGATATGGGTTTTGAAAAAGATGACATTTCTTGGTACATTCTAAACCAACCAAAACCAAAAATGGAAAAAAAACTTGTCCCATTTTAATGGGTTCTGGTCATTTATCTCATATCTGATTTAAACCTACCTTACCTGGGGACTCTTCTGCCTCTGTCCCTTAGTATGCAGTAGTAGAAACGATAATCTATGAGTTTCGACTGCACGATCTGTTGTGTAAGTATAAATGGAATATTCATTTATTTTTTTAGTGTGAAAGGATATTTTTTGATGGACACAAGAATCATCAGCCCCTGCTTTTGTCACGCCCTTTGATTTTCTTCTTTCTATTAAGGTAGCAAAATTCAGGATGGCGCCTGTAGCTCAGTGGGTGGGGCACTGGCCACATACACTGAGGCTGGCGGTTCAAACCCGGGCTTGCTAAACAACAACAGTTGCGACAAAAAAAAAAAAAAAATAGCCAGGCATTGTGGCAGGCGCCTGTGGTCCCAGTGACTTGAAAGGCTGAGGCAAGAGAATCACTTAAGCCTAAGAGTTTGAGGTTGCTGTGAGCTGTGACACCACAGTACTCACCCCAGGGCGATAACTTGAGACTGTCTCAGAAACAATAAAATAGCGGGCGGTGCCTGTGGCTCAAAAGGGTAGGGTGCCGGCTCTATATGCTGGAGGTGGTGGGTTTAAACCCAGCCCTGGCCAAAAACTGCAAAAAAAAAAAAGAAAAAAATAGCAAATTTCACAATAATAACTAGTTCCTAAGAGTGAAAGCATATTGATAAGATTGTTTTAAGAGATTATTACAGCAGGATGACAGAGGTCAACAACACTGAGCAGGAGCCACGTTCATCATACTCTAGCTATTTCTCAGTCTTTTGTCTACTCATGGAGCACTGAACGTGTATGAGGTATGGCGTCTGCTCTACCTAAGGGTGTAGCTGTGATCAAGGCTAATGTGGTATCTCATCTATGGGGCTTAGAGTTGAGGACAGTGATAGATACCAAATTATTGGTTAAAATCGAATTGAGTGCTAAAGTACGGGGTGAAAGAACCTAACCTTGTCTAGGGGGTTAAGGCCATCTACCCAGAAATGATGAGTGAGAGTGAAGCAGGGCAAAATGAAATAGAAGAAAGTAGGATTATTTTGTAATCCCTCTGAGTCTTCCTCCTTGTGCTGACTCTCTCTCTCTCACACACACACACACACACACACACACACACTCACCCATACCCATCAACTACTGCTATAAGAATCTTAAATTAAAGGTGTATTTCTGGAAAGACCTAGTGATCGAATTCTGTCTCTTTAATTTTCTTGAGTTGACTGCTAGTAACTGAGCTAAAATAGTTTACAGTGAATCTTAACTACGTGGTGCTCCAAATAAGTGTCAATGATATGTTCTCCACATTACGGCGGCTTTAGTTTTCTCTCTTTCTGATCTTGTCACTTGATCCCCAGAGCCACCAGCTCCTAGGTGGCTGACAAAATTCAATTGGAATGCAGGCAACGAGCAACAGAAAAAAAATCCCATGTCATTTCGTTTATAAGTCTAACCATTCCAAAGCTCAGTTAAAAAAGGATTTTGATACTCTTAAAAACAACTGGAAACATTTTCATTTAATTAAGATGAGTACCCTTCTAATGGCTTCATATAAAGTAAAGGGTAATTTTCATCCCAGTCTATGAAATCACTTCTTTTTTCTTTAAAAAAGATTCATGGGTACAATTAACAGAAACCTACCAATGACAAATTTCTGCCCAGCAGGTCTTAATTGGAATCTCTGACAATGAAAAACTAGAAGTTTTCCTCAGTAATAAGGACGGTCAGAAACAGTGACCTCTGAGGTCAGTCACTAATGCTGGAAATGGAGATTTTTAGTAGTTTATCTAGAAGATTTAAACATTTCCAAAATAACTGACCCAAAAAGGCAGTGTGAGCCACTTTTGTGAGTGCTTTTGAGGAAAGGTTATAAAATCGAGGCTAATAGGAACCTCTTAATTTGACAATGCTTGGTGCTAACAACCAGTAAATCAGAAGGATGGCAGAGAAGTTATCTTGGGTCGTTTGGTTCTCCAAAGCACTTTATTTATAATAGCATTTATTAATTATCTAAAATGTGTTAGCATTAAGGTCAGCTACCCAGAATGGAGAAGCAAAATTCCCTTTAGTTTCTTTTCAAACCCCTGCTGGGGAGGGAGGTAGGAAGAGAGATTAAATACTGTTTTAATTAGTCAGCTGATGAAACACCTGCTATTCAACTCGAGCTACTTTCTTCTCTCACCCCAGAAATAAATCATTACTCACTGTATCCAGCACAGCCAATACCCCTCCCTGCCCTTGCCTCGCTCCACATCACTTTTCCCTGCCCTTCAAAACATGGCCACTTTTTTCCAAGGGCCTTAGACTAATGGAAAGCTGGGGCGGTGAGGGACCCTAGACGTCGTCTGGTCCAGCCCACCCACCCCCTCCAGCCCCCATCCCGGGAGTACCTCCATCTGGGGCATGGACTTGCGGCTTTGTGAAACTAATGCCTGTTATTCTCCCTGCTCTCTCCTTTGTCCCTACAGCGCCATGGCCACTTACTCTGCCACATGTGCCAACAATAGCCCTGCACAGGGCATCAGCATGGCCAACAGCATTGCCAACCTGAGACTGAAAGCCAAGGAGTATAGTTTACAGAGGAACCAGGTGCCAACAGTCAACTGAGGAAAAACACTTATTAAACAGGCCTAAGAAGAAATCAAAAACCATAAGACACCTCTCCTGCTCTGTCATTTCTTCATCTGCTGGGGGAAAAAAAAAAAGCAAAAAGCAAACAAAAACAAAACAAAAGCCAGAACTAAACTATTGGGACCATGGCAGAGAAAAGCAGGAGAGGAGCAGTATGAAAATTAGTTCACAATGTTCCTCCTCCCTCTGGGATACCAGCACCACTTGTTTCTGTGTGTGTTTATTTTGTTTTTCTTTCTATTCATGCTTTGCTTAATATACTCCAAGCTTCTTCAGCTAGGTTCAGCCCACCCACTCCCATGATTGTATGAGGTTTTTAAAAAACTACAGCAGCCAAAGAAACTATATTTTATATATATATATATATGTCTATCTATCTCCAGAATTATTTCCCCTAGTCTCCTCCTCGACCTATTTGAACCTCCGTGCCTTAACCTGTCCCTATCCCACTTCTTTCTCTAGAAGTTCTAGGAGCTTTTGAAAAGCCAAAGTCTTTCTGAAGAATCTGTGCCAGCCAGACATAATTCCCTTTCTCGTTATCTCCCTCTCTGTTGGTCATGATAAGGCTTTTCCATCAGCTATGGGGAAAAAAAAATCTGTACAATGTCTGGTCACTGGCCTGTGTCTGGCTAATTCTAAGCTCTAAACTCCAGATCAAAGCTCTAGATTACATCTCTAAGCTACAGAGAGTATCACCAGTGCCATCACCCCTCACCCCACCCAACCAGCCACCTTAAATTAAATGATATTTGTTCTCTTTGAATTATTTGCTGTCACAGGATATTTGATGGAAGAAATATTTTTTCACCTGTGAAAGGGGAGCGACATCTCTAGAAACAAAAGACTGAGTTGTAGAAGGTGTGTCCACAAACCTCTGGTGCCTGAGGATAATCAGATGCACACACATATGTATACTTTATCTATTTATGTATATTATATATATAAAAAATAATGCAAGCTTGAGTTTGCAATTTCAAACACTACAAAAAGCAAATTTCACACCATTGCCACTGTTCTTATCTCTAGTGATGGGACTTATTAATTAGGGATCTTGCTTTATCTTTTTCTCTGTAAAATTCTCATTAAAGCCACAGAGAAATCATTAGGGCAGCTGCTTGAGAAAAGTCTAATTTTCACATCAGGGCTTTACACAAATTGGAAACTATTTGAAGCTATCAAAGTGTCCTTGAGTTTGGTGCCCGAGCTTTGGTGGGATGCTGAGATAGCTGATCCACCAAGGGAATTTCACTTAGAAGAGGGGAGACCATTCAATCATGTGTTCTCTCTCCACTCAACAGGAGTCTGAAAGACGTGTGTTTAAGTGAAATACTTAAAGGTTTGTCTAAATCCTTAAATTTAAAAGGTAATTGTGGGCTAGTTTTATATTTTAACATTTTGAAATAAATTTAGTGCTTAGGGCTGGGAGCCAGGACTGATCTTGCTTTGTTTCCTTCTCTTTGTTCCCAGCCATGCTTTTGTACCTTGCCAGGTGGACTTGACCAAACCATGTTACCATGCTGTGCCTCAGTTTACCCATTCACAAAATGGGGTTAACAGTACTTACCTACCTCACAGGGGTGTTGTGAGGCTCTGTTCATTTGTTCCTTCACTCTTTCTTATATTCTTGGTATGTCCAGCAATTTTTTAGCCATGGGAGGAAAAGGGACTATTCAAGTGTACAGTGTTAATGGAATGATCTGGTACCTGGAAGCCTTGTTTTCCAGTAAGGAAATGCTACCTTGCTGTACATACTTATAACCTTATATTTGGAAATAAGATATAGGTTTATATTTTCAGATCTCTCAAAAATCACATCATTTGACCAAAGAATAATTTAAGAAACATAGAACAGACATATTTTTAACTTATGTTCTCAACCTGACCAGCTTGGTTCTCATACTTTTTAGTTATGAATGATTGATAAGGTTTAGATTGAATTCGGCCAAATATGCCAACTTTGTACCGTGAGTGATAGGCAAACTGGGTTTTTAGATGCACTTTTAATACACACTTGTATTTCCCTTGGCCTATCAGATTGAGCTAATGGTGATATTATTCCAGTCTAACAGCTGCCAGTCTGAAAATGTATTTCAAGTATTAATTCTGTGCTTCTTTCAATAATAGGAAGGAAGCCCATCTTATGCATTTTGCTTACACCAACTGATCCCCTTTTCTTGTAACCCACTATTAAAACATTTCTTAGTGAATGGCTCATGTAGGCTGGCCAAACATCACACATTACTTGCTTCCGTGCATTCTTCTGTCCCACTAGATGCTGTGGACGATCAAGTACTGAGGGAACAGTATATTCTAACAGAATGAAACATTCTTCGATTTGTGAAGTGAGTGCAAGCCAAGAAATTGGTGAACATTAGAGGTTTGAGTTTGGAGTTTGGGGAGAATGGCTAAAAGAGGATTTGAGTTATAGGCAAGGGACAGAAATCATATCTGAAAAGATTTTACCAAGAAGGGGGAACTCTTAGAAGAGTGAGCAGAGAGACAGAGAAATAGGGGAAAAACTTATTTGAAATTTCCACGCAGATATCCATTTCCAGTGCTGAACAGAAAATCCTGAACCCATAAACCAAATGGTAGATGAATCTGGGTGATTCAATCCAACTGCCTGGCCAAGTGATGTCTGGGAATCTCACAGAGTAACCACTGCTGGTCAGCCAAGGAAACAGTCATCGCTGGTGAACCAACATATAAGTATCTATTATCTAAGCACTTGATCAAGAAGTATACATGTAGTATAAGCACTCAGTTTTGTTCATTTATTATTGATTTTAAAAAGTATATATAGAAATTTGATATGTGATTTGAAGGAGTAGAATGGCTTTTAAGCCAGTTGTCAGCAGAGGGCCTCAGGGCCACAAACTTCAAGACATACTCCTGTTCCTCACCGTCATCATACCCAGGTACAGATGAATGCTTGTGAACTGTCTGTGTCCTCATTCTCTCCCTAAACAAGATGCTGACTTGTAGGGTACTTGGCAGGTTAAATTAAACCAGAAGAGGTGACTTAATAAAAAAGGGAATGACATTTAGGGTATAAAGATCTCATAAGAAGTGTAATATGTAAATTATATCTTGCTTTATGATGTAAAATATACAGTGTTTGCGCTAGAATAGAAATGATTCCTTTTCAATAAAAAGAAAGGATACTACTATGTCTTCTGTTATGTACATTTGAGCCTGCTGATTCTTTTCTCTTTGAACTTCAAAAACACAGATCTGCTAGGATCTGAGATTACATGCATAAGAATAAAGGTAAGAAGGGTCTATAAACAAGAAAACTTTTATCAGAGTATCATATTACTTTCTACAGAACAGGAAAATCATCTACCATTCCTCAAAAACAAAGACAGTAGTGGGAGGAAGAGGAAACATTTATTAGTATAATAAGTAACTATAGAGCAGAACTTTTATGAGATGCCAGCAATTTTTTTTACTAATATCTTTAGCATCCACAATACCAGATGCTGAATGAAAAAAAAAAAAGACTTTATTTAAAGCATGGCTGTTTATTTTGGAATGAAGACGTAGCAAAATAATCTCTTAGGCACCTGTTGTGTGTAGCATAGGGTGTGGGGTAATGGAGAGAAGAGAAAACTTAGACATAGATTCTATTTTTATACCAATTAAAAGCTGATTTAAAAGGCAACTCTAACACAAAAAGTTAGGCAATGGTTCAAGACAATAAATCAATAAATATCAACCATATAGAGCAGGCAGAAGAGGTCCAGAAGAAGAAGAAAGCTGAAGTGAGAGAAGGGGTTTTTTTTTTAGAGGAACTGGGGGACTTGAGTTTCATCTGCAAGGACATGGACAGGTTAAGAGAGGGTTGATGGGGGAGTGGAAAAGAGGGATGAAGACAGGAATATGGGGATGAGGAATTGTACTCAGGAATCTATGCCAAGGTGGGCCTGGTGAGATGGAAAGTTTGTTTCAAAGCAGAATGGAAGAACATATAGGGGATTGAAATTGAGGTTTTCTTCAAGTCACATAGATCCAATGAAGCTTTCTGAGCAGGAAAAAAGATACTATGCAAAAAATAAAAATGCTACTTTAGTGGAATTGTTATGGTAAAAGAATGAAGGTAAACTAGAGCAGACCAGGAACTGGAAGCAGATCAGACAAAGATTGCTGCAGGGGAGACAAAGCCCAAAGGATGAGCAGGAAACAGAGTAAGGAAAGAATCAAGAGGACCTCATGGCAAGAAAAAGAATAAGGCCAATGATAATGCTGGTTTCAAACCAGGGAGTAGGAGAACAACTCATTGACCAAACGGACAAAAAACAACAGAAATGGGGGAGGCTATGATACAGGAGAAGGTAACTGAAGTTTTACATGTATGGATGAGCAAAGCTCAAAACCCAAGTGTAAACATCCAGTAAGTAAAGACGTGAAAAGAGAACTAGGTACGAAGGTCAAGGATGGAGATGGAAGTTGGAGGTTCGTCTTTAAAGAGGTGACAGTTTGAGGTATAAGAATGAATGGGCCCATTGAAATGAGAAAGTGCCATTGTCACTCAAATAATTATTCCTGATCAATGGCTTCTGGAAATAGTTTCAGCCAGAGAGGAAGGTTGGACTTTGCAGAACATTTACACTTGGGAGATAGTTACTGAACTCAATTTAAAAGGAACTGTTTGAAAAATAGGAGGAGGATAAAGCTTTGTTTATTATTGCAGAGTTAAGAGAGGTTTTCAATAAGAAGGGAATGTTTAATATACTCAAGTGCTATGGAATCAGGAATGGAGGAAAGGCCATTGGTTTAGTGACTTTCAAGAGCAAAGTACTAGAGTGCCTGAGGAAGAAGGTTGATTTGGCAAGTCGTGGTAAGAATAAGCACCTTTAAATAAATGGAACTACTGGCTGAGTGCTATAAGCCTTAATAAGGATTCTTGCAGTCGCAGAAGGATTCTTTCTGTTATAGCAGAAACCTATCAAACTAGTTAAAATTATAAAGAGGTTTTATTTG